TTCGCTTCGGTATGCGCTTTAATCCACCATTAATAAATTGTTGAATTTGCAATTTTTTTTTTTATAATGTTGCTTTGTGTGCAATTGTAGTTCAAAACCATTCTTGGAAATTTTGCATAGTGATTAGGTTTCACAACTTCTGAGAAATTGGTGTGAGCTATCTTAAAATGGTTTAAATTTGTAGTTCAAAAATCATTCTTGCATAATTTTGCATAACGATGCTAAGACCTGCCTTTCTTTGAGAAATTTGTATGTCATTACTTGGTATGGTCAACTTTTTTGCAGGAATATTTTAATGAATGATATATCAGATGTGCGATACGACAAAGGTTTCTTGGACAGGTTTGGTTTTGTCTTGTGACTCTAGTTCATATTTTCTGCTATACCTTGATCATTTACTTTTATTGTAGTATTTCCTTTGAAATAGGTTATATCGTAAAACTTTCTATGTTTATTTCTCACTTCATGTGCTAATTTTCATTTAAATGCTTAGTGATATGGGGACATAGTGGTGATCGGATTAGTGAAGACATAGGTGTTCCAATAATTTTTACGGCCTTGAACAATGGATTATATTAATCTAGTTTAAGTGTGTGAACATCAAAATTAAACCTTGTCCAATCTAGATTTTTTTTAACAATATTTTTTATTGTTATACACAGAAACAAAACCGTGCATTGTAAAAACTATGTAATGGATTTGTAATTTAGAAGTCAATAGTGATCAGCGAGACGTATCTCTACGAGGCCCCTGATTGATAATATTAGCACTCACGGAGAAAGAATTCAGAGCCATTGATTATGTTGAGGCTTATGCATAACATGGATTTTGGAGGTTGTATCATGGCCATTTCTGGTTGGAAATAAAGCTATTTATGGAGATGAGATGGGAAACTAGTGGAATTACAAAAGAAGTCAGCTTCTTTTAAAGGCAGCTAAATACAATTGATCAATGACATCGGATAGAACTTCAAGTCAAGACCTGTAGACAAATCAAATACTATAGTTTTGGAATCGGCCAATTAAAAATCATGATTTGTGTGCAAATAGTTAGATCAAGGTTGGAAAGAAGATAAGAATTTCTCTTTCTCTCATCTCTGTTTCAATTACATGGCTTGCCTCTGTACTGATGAAAACACTTCTTTTTTTGTATGTTTTTTATTATCAAAATTTCCTTTATCATTATCTTCTCATCTTAATTATGTTACTTTCTTGAAATTCTTGGCTTTGTTTGGCGGTGTTTAATATACCATATGGTTTTCCTCCATTTCAGGCATGAAAAGTTATGTGATACTTATTTCTTCAGGCATTAGGTCACAGAATATAAATATTCAAAGTAGGTAATTATACATCTGCACTGTCAGCTTGGGGTTATTTTTTTTCTATTATCAAAAGTTTTCTTGAAGTTTATAAACTAGTTGAAGTTTTCTTGATCCGAGTGCACAATTGTGAAGCTTGGACAGGTCTAAGGGATGAATGTCCTAATGTATTGCATATATCAAGCATGGAAACACCTTGTGTGGAACATATGCCTGAGATCTAAACAAATTTAAAATATGAACTGTACATGCTGTCCACGTGGACATGCCTAGAATAGAAAGCATGTAGATACTTTAGACAGATTTGACATAGCGTAATTATTTTTCGTTCCTTGTGATTGAGGGAAAAAAAAAAAAAAAAATAAATAAAGATTATTAAAGTGGATGTACTAATTTTAATTTTAAAATGGTTGTTTCAATGTTATAAGAGTTTTTGGTTCATACATTTTTGTTTTCAAATGTAAGAAGGTTTTAAAATTTGTTAAAAATAAACGTATGAATGTATATTTCATTACTGTGTACTTTCATATTTGTGGCCTATTTTTCAAATTGTTGTGTTGTGTTGTTGACATGTCTCATGCCTATGTTTTTTTCTTCATAAGTACCTAGCTTGTAAATTTTTTCATCTTCTTTCATGCGATTAGAATCATGGATCAAGTTTTATTGCTTTGATTTTGTTGATTTTATTAAGATTTATGTTATAGTGATAAGGACGAGAGACAAACATCAAAAGCAATTGAAATAGTAGTATAGCCCCTCTTACAAACAGTATTTACAAAGATGAAAAGCTTGATAATTATTTAGATGTTCTAACTTGATGACTTAGAAAAACAACTATCTAATATTTACAAAGTGAGGCTTCTATGTTATAGTACATAGATATATGGAATTAACATTATCCTGTTGTCTTTGCATTTTGCAGATTTAACACCAAGATGTGGAAGCTTCACTATTCTTACAGTCACGTTAAAGGCTATATCCTTGTTTGTACATCCCTTAACTATCCCTCTTGTATGCTTGTGCCATTTTCAGTATAAAGTATTTTTAATTATTACAAACAATGCTATACATATTCATTAAAATGGTGTTTAACACTCATTATGGGTGATATTTTGTATAGATAATTGTTTAATTATCTAATTTACATAACCTTTGGTTTGTTTGGAGCCCCTAGAAGGGTAAGAAATCAAAAGCATACAAGATATCATTAGGAGAAGTTGATTAGGGGCCCTTTTCATAGATTTTCAGTAGGTTGCTAAACAACCTTTCTACGTACATTCACTTATTTGTGTGTGCAAAAGTCTTAGTTAAGTTATGGGAACAAGATGGGGGAATTTTTGTGACCATTGGTACTTATCAATGCAGGAGTTAATGATATAGAGGGATTGTTTTTTTTAAAAGCTTAGATACTTCTTGAATATGTGTTACATTCTTATTGTATGGACTTTTACATCCAGATGTATTCTTGTCGAATAAGAACTTATGCAGGAAGAACTTCGGCAAAAACGAGTTGGTGGTCAAAGAAGAAATCATATGGAGGTAGAAAGCTAAAGCTTCTTGGACTATGGAAGGTGTTGATAATACTAAGATATTTCATAAAATTGTTAAGGACAGAAATATTGGAAATCTGATTTGGAAATTGTAAACCAAATAAAGTTGACTGTTGATTACAGAAAAGTAGATGAAGAATTTGCAAATTGCTTCTCCAATTTGTATTCTAATGGAAATATCCCTATACCTCTAGTGCACAGGTTCTATTGGGCCTCCATTAATAAGAGTATGCAAGCTGTTTGAAAAGGAGACTTGAGGTTGAGGAAATTAAGAAGGTCATTTTAAATGCTGTCCATAAAAGGTTATTGGCCCAAATTAACTCTTCATGAATTTCTTCCAAAATTGATAGGAATTATCAAGATGTGTTGATTGTTAGATGAATAATATGAAAAAGGAACCATAGTTCTTTTATTACTCGAAGGAAAGGAGACACATCGATGTTTAGCGAATTCATAAACATCACAGTAAAACTCGTTTACATTAACATTCTTAAACAATGATGGAAACATAACACGAAGAATACTAAAGGAAGGGTGTCCAAGTCTAAGATGATGAAGCCAGATTTGGTCATTGTTGGAATGAGGGTTGCTGGACAAGAAAGAGAAAGGTGGTCTATTCCCATTGTTCACTTGGCTGTTGGGTAACTCAAGATAATAGAGACCTTGTCTCGCCTTAGCATGTCCAATCATCCTCTTCGTAACTTGGTCCTGAAATATACAAGAAATAAGAGAAAACACCACACTGCAGTTTAAATCTGTTATAAGTTGATGAATAGACACAAGATTTGTAGACAACTTAGGTACATGTAATACATTTTTAAGAGTTATGGATGAACTTAGAATAATGTCTCCCTAGCCAGCAACAGTGGCCAGAGATCCATCAGCGATAGATACTTTTCGGTTGCTAGGACAGGGATGGTATGTGAGAAATTTGTGTGAAGAATGGGTCATATGGTCGGTTGCCCTGGAGACAATAACCCAGGAATTTAAAAAATCTGAAATAGAGTCACTTAAAGCATATAAGGAATAAAGTTTACCTGAATATGCTAGGGAACAGGTACCTGTAGACTTTTCTAATGAATCAAGGAGTGACCTCAGCCTTCCAATGTCTTCTTTGTTAAATTCATGTTGTTCTTCACCACTGGAATCATGTGACTGTCCTCTCTACATTGAGTCATATTCGCCTGGCTTCACTGTGTTCCTCCTCTAGGACCTTTATTCCACTGAGAACTTTGTGGTTTTCCATGAAGTTTCCAACATTGCTCTTTGGTATGGCGAGGCTTTTTGCAGGAGTTACACCAGAGGTTATCCTTGTTTGAGGACCGAGACTCTATTCTGCCAATTTCTGAATTTGCAGTATTGAAGGTAGATGTCTTTTCAGTATTAAACTTCAGGTTCTGATCATTGGATTTTCCCAACATTGTTGATCCTTCAACTGGTTGAGAGTAAAGCACAACTCCCCTTCAACTTTCTTCAGCATTGATGATAGAGATGGTCTCATTCAATGAAGGTAAATCTTCTTTTCCTAATACTTGAACTCTCACCTAATCAAACTCAACATTTAAACCAGCGAGGAAATCATAAATTTGATCATTTTCAATGAAATTCTTTAACGCAGTTGCATCGTCGCTGCACCTCATCTCAATGCACCGATAATGATCCATCTCTTGCCATAGATTCTTCAAGAGATTGGGATACTTCGTGACTGAGCGATCTCCCTGTTTGATGTCAGAAATTTTGGTTTTAATCTCATAGATTTGAGCACAATCTCTTACCTTAGAATAAGTTTCTTTTGCCGCTTCCCATATTTCTTTAGACGTTGGCAAAAACATAAACGTATCACCGATTTCTGGCAGCATGGAATTCCATAGCCAAGACATGACCGCGGAGTCCTCTTCATCCCAAGCATCAAATTTAGGATCTCCCTTCTTGGGTCCAATACCAAAGAGATGACTCAATTTTCCCTTCCCTTTCAGAAAGGTCCGCACCACTTGAGACCACTTCCTATGATTTTTTCCATTCAATCTGTAAGCAGATTGAATAGTAGGTAGCTCTCCTGTTGTTTGATTAAGAGTCACTGCTTCAGACTGGGAGGTAGTGGTTTTCTCGGTTGTGGAAGACATACTTTAGCAATGAAGGCTAAACAGAAAAAGAATAAGAAAAATACAAGATGCAAGCAGGGCACAAAGGATCTTGGCGATGAAGGCCTGTAAGATGAGATTTCTAATCCCAGAAAAGAGCCTAAAGCTCTGATACCATGAAGAGAATTATGAAATTCTTAATTCTTATTAAACATGACTAAATACAAAGAATTTATACAGTAATGAATTGTTATTCTAGGAAGTTAATCCCTATAAATCATGAAACAATTAACTACTAATTTACAGCTAATTGATTATAATTACTCCCTATGATTACTGCTATCCCTATAATTATTGCTAAATACAAGAATCCTGGGAATTCAATTAAATTTGAATTTCCAACAGGATTTTTGTTGAGAAAAGAGAAGAAAACGGTGGTGCTAATTGATAGATGCTGCTTTTTGCGTTGCGTTGGGCTTGGTTGCCAGGGATGTTATTTGAGGGAGATTCTCTCTTTTTTTCCTATATTAATGGGTTTGAGTAGAATACGTAAAACCAGGATTAGACTAGGAAACCTAATTTCTGGGGATTTGATAGCCTAATTTATAGGAATGAATAAATAATACAGTTTAAATAATTTCTTAAGCACCATTGGTTATCTAGGCAGATTTTATCAAACTCTTCCAAAAAGGGGTTTTAGGAGTCTTCTTTCTTCTTTATTCATCTCAATTGGTTTTACAAATTTATTTTTTCTTCTAGAGGATCAATTTTATGCTCTTCTTTGCTCTTATCTGTTTACATGAGGGTGTAAACTACAATATTATAGATTGTAGGAGACTACTGATAAGCACATAGGTGTGTCGGCTAAATATAAGTTCAACTCTACGAAGAATCATCTCGACACTGAAAAATATGTAGTTTGCCTCCTCCAACTTGTCTTATCAGAAAATTTTATTTTGTGAAATATGGTTTCCATGTTCTACTTTGCCTTTATCATGTGTTAATTCTTTTATTATGCTTGGAACTGTCTTTCCACCTGTTTTTGGTCTCCTAGTGTCTGTTATCCTTGAAGAAATAATTGGTGGTAGCAAAGAAACATAATTGGGGGCACTGTATGTTGTAAAATGTATTTACAATGATAAGGAGAATATTTTTAGTGAAAATTTTAGTTTTCAAATTTTTTGTTGCAATTTACACGTCTTTCCTAAAATTTTTCTATTTCTGCAATTTGTTGTCAACATGGATTAACAAAAACCTGTTCTTTTCTCTTTTGTAGGTCGCTAGTGCAGGATATGGCCTAGATCACATTGCAGTTGTTGAAATTCTCAAAACTATTAAATCTATAAATGGATTTGCCATTGCTATTGTTCTAAAGCCTTTCAGCTTTGAAGGACAAAGGCGCATTGACGAGGTACTGTGTGCTAGGGAACAATTGCATTGCATGCTTCCCTGAATTAGCAAATACTTGTCAAACAATAAACAAAATGACAATATCTTTGTTGTCATTTTTTTTTTTTTTTTTTTTTTTGGGGGGGGAGGGGGGGGGGGGGGGGGGGTTTTTTTGTTTTTTTTTTTTTTTTGTTTTTTTTTTTTTGTTTTTAAATTTTGAGATTTGAGATAGGATAGTACTAGCAATTGAGAGTGTTTTTTGGGTTGCTTCATACATGAGGAATTTTCAGTAGTTTGCATGCCAAGAAATATACATACTCAGTTGAGATGTGATATGATTATGTTGCAATGCCTATGTTGATAAAATAGTTTTGCAAGTTTGATTGATGGAAATTATTTAGGATAATTTCTGACTTAGGAGAGGTTATTAGGACCTGTGGTAAGATATTTATGCTTAAAGTCGAAAAAGCTCTAAAATTTGATTTCAAGAAGATGGCTTCGTACCAGAAGATTAAAAACTCTCATTTTATCTCTCCTTGTTGGTTCATGCCTGCTGAGTTCTGATTCTTTGCGTGGTATGGCCACAATTGTGTCTGCAGCATTCCATGATGCATGAAATTGTCAAAAGTCATGTGAGTCTGATAAAGTAACATAAATCTGTATGTTATACGGGATGCTGATTGCTATTGTTTGGCGGATTCTGATTGCTATTGTATGGCATAAGCTCCTATGGAGCACCTGGTTACTTCATGAACTATTTGGCTCACTAAGGACACGATTTTAAAAGTTCATTTTTAAACTCTCCAGTGTTTCGGTATGATAAAAAAATCAAGTAAGAGAAGTATTTATAAGCTGTTTTAATCTTCATATTCTTGTTATTAATAAGAAAAATGTTGTGGAACAAGTTAAATGTCAGTGTTTTTGTGCATAATGTGCTTGTTCTTATTGTCACGTGCCGATTGATGATTATTGTTGAATTCCTAAGATAAGAATGTGAAAACTTAGGAGTTATCTAGGCATTATCTAGTTTTTAAATTTAAAAGTTAGGATAATCCTAACTTAAGGTTATCAAGATATCTAGAGTTAGTCTATAACTAGAGATGTATGATATGTATTTTTTTAAGTGAATAAGTGTGAATAAGTTTTTCCTCTATTTTTTCAATTATCATTTTTAATTACTTCCTCCCATGCTTAGTTCTAATTTATGACCACATATCTTGAGAACCTTGTGACAAAGAAAGCACCAATATATGTTTCGCAAAGTAGGTACTGAATCACTGTTCATAATGGGTTCTATTCCTTGGGAGAAACAGCTTTTTTCAACATCTGGGTGGTCTATTATAGTATTCCAATTCATTTTGTTGCAAATCTCCATCTTCTTGGAATTCATATTGACATATTTTTTCATTTCTGTACATATATTTTTTTTTTTATTCTTCCAGATTACTTGGAACAATTATTTCAATTTTCAGAACGTACTCGTCATTTGATTTGCAGGTAAAAGGTTTGGTAGCAAAACTTCAAGATCACATAAATCTTTGTATTGGTAGGTGTTGTGTTATATCTGTCATTTAATTGAACAGTTTTATTGTGTTATAGCTGTCATTTATTTGAANCCCTGGGAGAAACAGCTTTTTTCAACATCTGGGTGGGCTATTATAGTATTCCAATTCATTTTGTTGCAAATCTCCATCTGCTTGGAATTCATATTGACATATTTTTTCATTTCTGTACATATATTTTTTTTTTTATTCTTCCAGATTACTTGGAATAATTATTTCAATTTTCAGAACGTACTCGTCATTTGATTTGCAGGTAAAAGGTTTGGTAGCAAAACTTCAAGATCACATAAATTTTTGTATTGGTAGGTGTTGTGTTATATCTGTCATTTAATTGAACAGTTTTATTGTGTTATAGCTGTCATTTATTTGAACAGTTTTACTCTCATTTGGAAAATGGTACTGGTAAAGGTGGCAGGCGAGCAAAGCCAACTGGAACCCAATATGGGCTGGGCTTAAGTAAGCTTAATGAGTTGACCCATAAAATAAGCTGCGCTTGTGTCAAGCCCATCAATCCCATCAAACTGGATGGAAAGAAAAGATTAACAATAGCTATAATCTATTTTAGATTTTGTACAGTTTGGGCTTAGCCCAAAGTTCAAAATTACAATCAATGAGTAACTGAGTTGTCAATCCCCAGCTATACCATTGAGCATCCCCACCAATGCTTTAAATTGTGTGGTTGGGGTTGTTACAACTCTTAAAAATAGCACAAATGACCTTGGTAGGTGTTAGTCTATAGGCTTGTAGTCATGTTTGAAGATGCTTCGATCAATTTGATGTTTATACCACCTCACAAACTTACCCATAGTCAGTTATTGTGTCACAACAAACCATAGATAGTCGAAAGTCGTAACTCTTGTAAGAGAATGTACACCAAATGTGGAGATTATTTTACTTTGTATAAATCTAAAGACAGTAATGGCTTTATCACAAAAAGTGCAATTTGTACTTTTTGTAAAATCAAATTAAGTGGTGAAATTAGACGTAGCACCCCCCGTCTAATAAGTAGTGATAAATGCCTAATACAATTTGGTAAAAAAGACCCAGAACAATCACAAATTGCTACCGTATTTCTAATAGTTACAGTAAAGGAGTTGCTTCAGGTACCTACCAATAGTTTTTCGTAACCTGAGTTTAGAATTGCTTTCGGCATGAGACACTGTCTAATGTCTATATGAAGTTATTAGCTCTCTCCCAGCTACATTGCGGTCTCCAATTTTTATTTTTATTTTTCTCCTGTTTATACTTCAACATTAAAAGTGCAATACCTATTCTTCAGCTATTGCACTAATGGACTTGATAAGTTTAAAACGGGACGTAATGTTTTTCTTTGTCATATACAGATATTGAAGCTGACAGACTACTTGAAAAGGACTTGGTTACCCTAGATGAGGCTTTAAACACTGCAAATGATGCTGTTTTGTTGGCTATAAATGTCGTCTCTGTTCTAACATCTGTAAGCATACCATCTCTTTAATATAATTGGCTTAACAATGTTTATCCTCGCACTAACTTATTAATATCTGAGACATTTACAGGATTTGCAGAGAAAGCTAATTGATGTACCACATAATGATGTGAGGGAACTCAAAGTTTCAGAAGTTTTAAAAGTATGCTTACTTGACTTTCATGATTAGCGCAAATTATTATTGATTATTACATGCCATGAATTTCATGATTAATTTTGTTTGTTTACTGCTGCCTTGTGCCTGCAAAATGTTCCATTTAAGCATGGTAGACACTGGGAAACTTTTTATGAATTCATTGTGTTTTTTGAAAATATCGAAAATGATTGATTTACAAAAGATGAAAACACATCCAATGTGTTTGTCTGAAAACTTTATTTTAAAAATTATCAAAATATAACTTGAAATAACTTTTGGCAACAAACGTAGTCAAAATTTTTCTTAATGATCTACATAAAGAGATGTAATAGAATGAAAAAATCATGTGTGAGAGATCAATCAAGGTTTAAGTTTCATGTAAGTTTTTTTTAGGAGAGAGGAAATGTCTATAAACAAAAGAGGGCATTTTTGTTTTTAACAAAAAAATTGATGAGTTTTCCTTCTCTCGTAAGAATAAAAAGCAAAAGCATAAAGGAACAAGTATTTTGCATTTTTCAAGGACCAAAAAATGAAAATAGAGAATTGGGTGCATACATGAATGTAGCCTTGGACACTTTTACTTTCTCATTCCCATGTTCTAATATTATGTTTCATTTCTTTCTATTTCTTTTATCTGTCCTTTCAAGGCTAATGTAACAGTGTACAGATTCTGGGAAACTTCAAAGAAGCTAAAATTGGATTTGGAGCTGGTTCCCACATCAAAACTTCAATTTTGCAAGCTATATATGACTGCCCTTTCATTGGTGCTGGTTTAAAGGTATGATCTAAGGGAATATAAGTGCATTGCTTATACAGTTCCCACTTGGATTGATTAAATGTGTACCTATTTTTTTTGTTTGGTTTTGTTCATTGGTGCCGCTACTATAAAGATATGATAAACATGAATTAGATGCACAGTTTATAAAGCCATTCTGTACCCATCCATTTGTGCATGTGCATGCTTGTCTTGTGCAGGTTTTCTGTTCTTTACCCCATTTCCACTGCTTTTGGAAACTTTTAGAATAAATTCATCACTTTCAGCTTTTTCTTAATATAAATGAATCTCCTTGTTTTGCTGTGTGTTTATATGGCTATCCATTGATGCTGATTATTTTCTTTTTTGTGCACAGGAATTGAATGGCATGGTGATATGCATCGTTGCAAGTTCAGAGCTTATTGATGAGGATGATATACTAGGCTATTTGCATACTTTCCGTCAAACTATTGAATACACAAGGGAAATCATTATATCTTCTGTTCATGAACCTAATCTGGAGTCCAACCTGCTAATAACAACAGTTGTTACACTAGGGTATGTATTTAATTTTGATTTTAGGAATGCTAACTATATAGCCCTTAATTCTAAAGTTGTTTTTCATCTGTGAAATCGGTATTCCTTAAGAGGCTGAACTGTTTCATTGTAAGAAGAAAAACACTAAATTATTCGACAATCATAACTTACAAATAGAGCTCCTTGAAACCAAATTGTGTAAGAAGATTTTTCTATGTATTCAATGATAAGTTGTGCTGTTGTTATGGATTTTTCGGTTTTGATTGTTGTTGAGTTCATTCGTTTAGATTTTCTGTTTCTTGGAAATATATGTGAATATGTATGCTTTTCATTTGAATCCCTTCATAATCAGAGGCAGGAAATTTGATATATACAGTTTCTCTCACGCATGAGCCCACACTAGCCATGCATTGGCATGCCAAGAGCTCATACAAGTTCAAGCAAATGGTTATATCTGCTATAATTTAAGTGTCATTTTACCTGTGTTAATTATTGCAACAACTTTTAGTTATACTAAATGACTAATGTAACACAGCATTAGGCCTAGTGGTTTTGACTTGGGTTCATGCCCCTAGTAATCATGGGATTGAGTGGTATCATGCTGCTTGTCTCTCAGGGCTACTGTGTCCTACAGATTTTTCTTGGTAATCTGCTAGTGCTTATGAGACGGGGAGACTGCATTTAAACTTGAGTGCTGTAACAGTCATGAACACTTTGATTGCCAGAAATGATAAAATGAAGAAGAAGAGTAGTGGGTGGTGGTCAATTTTAAGTTATGAATCTAATTTTGCTTATGCTTTTATATCTTAATGTCTCACATAATTTCCTGTGGTTAACAGTTCTCTTGAACAGCAGGCCTCGCACAAAAGCAGCATTTTATCTAGATTGGCTCTTCATTTTCCCTTTGTTTCTAATTTATGGCGGAGATCCCATCCAAAAGCAAACAATACTCAAGGAAAAAATGCAATTGAGGATGCATGCCTTCCTAAAGTGATTAGTTCACCAGAACCTGGTGAAATGGAAAATATTATTGCTGTCATGGAAAGATTTAACTACTCTGAAGAAGCACAGACAGTATTGGGCAATGACAACTATAATGATTCCAGGTTAATTGTTTTTCCTTTTAGATTAAGTCACCCTTATGTTTCTCACGCATTAAAAGTCTCGTTAATTTTTTGCTATTCTGGAATTCATAATAGTGTGTCTGGACAAAGCAAAGCTGAATTATTTGATCCCAGGACTGAGCCTTCCAACTTCTATGATCAAATTACGGAAGGTAGCTATGTAAACTTTCTTGCCATTGTTACAATTGATTTACCAATTTGGACAGTTGTAAAATCCTGCCAATATTTTTATTTGGCAATCATGGTTAAAATGCATTATTTAGGAACTCCTTCCTTCCAAAGAGAACCGCTCGATGGTTGGAACTTGGGACCTGGATATCGGACTGCACAAAAGTGGGCTAGAGAAAGGGCAGCTGACTCTGGGTCTACCTCAACACTTGATAACCTGAGTATCTTCTGCCTTCCTGTTGGTGTAAGACTGTCAGAGGAGTTTAAAGACAGGGCCAGTATATTAAATATTTCAAAACTGCAAGAGCCAAAGACTGGAGATGATGTTAAAGCACTACCACTAGTTAGGGACTTATATAGCACCGCCTCTTCCCTTTTGAAGGGAAGAACTGCTGATGGTCAAAAGAAAAAAGGAGGCCTTTCGAGTCGTGCAGCATCTATGCTGGTAATTTTCAATGCACAATTTAGTTTTGAGGCATACATGTCTTCTGAAAAGCTATTTTTTCTTATGCCAATGTATCTAGTACTAAATAGTTTTCAAACATGCTGAGAGAAAAATTAAATGTTTCTTATTTAAATATATAATAAGTATTTTTTCAGCAAAAATGGAATTTGATATAATTTTGTTGGGTTTATCATCTAAGTATGTTGAGTAATTTATAAGAGAAAGTTACAGCTTTTCCTGTTTGCATAGTAGAAAGTACAATGCATTATTGATTCTTTTGAATCACATTGTCTTTGAACTACACTAATGGGTTAAAGTTTCTTTAACAAGTATAAAAATACCTAGGCTGTGTTTGTTTAAGTTTTTAGAATAGTATTTTATTCTGAATAGGATTTAATCAAATAGGATAGGATTCTGAGAATATGTTTGGTACATTTTTTAAAAATATTTAGATTATTTTTTAATCCCCTATATTTGTTAATTTAACTAATCCTCCAACAATAAAAGTTTATAAATTAACCAAAAGGCCTAAAGCTGTCGGAATGGCGCACAACCGGCTAGATCTAGCTGGTCATGCACTGATTTGGCCTTGTCCGTCCAAAGATCTGGCCGTTGACAACGGCTAAACAACGACCAGGATATGGCCGTCGTCAACGGCCAGATATTTGGCCGTAGATCTGGCCATTTCAGGCTAGATCCATGGTGGATCTGCTCGGAAACGGCTAGATCGGCGCATGATCAGCCAGATCCAACCAGTCGTGCGCCAATCCAGTTGCCGGCAATAGTTGGGTGGGTTGGGGTGTTTTTGTTAATTTATAAACTTTTATTGAAAAAAGTAATTGTTAAATTTTTTAGTTGAATAGAAAAGGATTGGATTTTATTGAATAGTCAATATTAAAACAAGCATGTATTTCACTAGATTGGATAGGATAATAGGATAGGATAGGGTTTGAAAACTCAAACAAACGCAACCCTAATTTTTTGTTGTGTTGTATAAAAAAACACAAAAAAGAAATTTGCCAAACAAGATTATTGAATAGTCTTAATAAATTTTAGTTTCGGTTCTAATTTCTCTGTAACTATTTGTCCATCTGAAAGACAGTGATATGCTCTATGTTTTGGCGCTACTTCCCAAAATTTATCAAAATCTTAAGATGCTGTTGCATCATGTATGAATGATGTTTTTTGGGGTCAATTTCAAGTTCAAAATCATATTTCTTTCAGAAGCATTCAGACACTATGGATATATTTAAGGTCTTTCTACTACATTCCATAAATTTTGCTCTCCGCTATGTTGAGCCCATTCATAGAGATGGCAAAGCAAATATCCTGCTTTTTTTGTTATTTTTTTTTTTTAAAGAAAATTGTAGATTTTCTTAAACTTGATTAATTTATATGTTAACCATGGTTGTAATATATGTCTTGTGGTGAATAGTAGCTTTGAATATCTGCTCCTTGTGCATTATTTTTTGGACTTGGCTTGCCAACAAATTGCTTTGTATATTTTAGTTCGTGCCATCTTGAACACATGGTTAATCCATTAAAACAGAAACCTATTCAACTTTCTAGAATTTTTAGGGTCTAGCACAAGACGGAATTTTATTGTCTCGGTTTCTTTCTACATGATGGTAACAAAAAAAATTCAAATGTGCCTCTGTAATTGGAGGCTCCTAATATAGTGGTATACCCTGTTAACTGTTTGGTTACTTGAAGTTGATCTATTTTTCATAATTATCAATTCAATACGCAATGACTTGGATGGGACCTGGACAATGACGGTGTAGGAAAAGTGAAATAAGGTAGCAAATAGTGGATTGAGGGGATGTTGGCAAGAAACTTCCATGGGTCTAGGCTGGGACAGGTGGCGATTGAGGGTTGGAACAGCAAAGGAATTCAGTTGGGGGAGAGAGAGAGCTGGAGCATAAAAAGAGGGAGAGAGCAGATTAGGAGAGGGAAGAATATAAGGAAATTTTGGAGGAGCTAACCCTCGAAGTTAGCAATTAGGGAGGAGCTGGCCCTCGAAATCCAGCATTGTTTTTCCTTTCATATTTTGATTTTGTCCTTTTGGGTTGATGTGCTGAGTATATTTTGTTGTTTGCTGCCATTGTGCTGTTAGGTAGTAATTGTTAGTTTCATTACAAGTGTATTTGCTTGATGAAATATTAATATAGAAGTCTATTAGTTTCTGGGTTATTTGGATACTGTTTACTGCTTATTTTCTGGGTTTATTGTATTTTGCTTTCTGTTTCCGTTGTGGTTGGCTCAGTTGGGTGTGGGTTCTCATCAGACTTGATCCTGATTGTTTAATTTCACTGCAGGAGGCTGAACGTGATTCACCAAAAAAGTGGACTCCTGTGATAGAGATGCAGTACAGAGGANGTAAAAGAATTAAATGCCAGATTTTGGATGCAGGGTTGTTTGATCCTTGTTAATGGAAGCATATATGATGGTATGTGGCGTTATGGTAAGAAATCAGGTCTGGGTACATATTACTTCAGTAATGGAGATGTATTTCAGGGTTCATGGAGAGATGATGTCATGCATGGAAAGGTTTGTTTTCTCATTTAAGCTTGAATCTAGTAATCACTGCTGATCCTATTAGGGACATGAAAACAGATTTAAACCATTTCTAATATTAGGGACCTCTATGATGATTTTTGAACCCTCAACCACAAGATTTTATTATCTTTAAACTAAAGGTTAGAGACTGTTAGGATCCCACATTGAAAGGGAAAAGGGTGGGCATGTGGGTTATAAAGGCTTGGGCACCCTCTCTTGGTAAGCCGGTTTTCCAAGCAGAGTTCTACCTAAGCCCATGAGAGACCTATGGCCCAGTCCAAATTGTTGAGTTATTGGAGTGGGTTCCTATCAATTGGTATCAGAGCATGATCCTGCGCCTATGTGGCAGCGCACGCGTGGCAGGCTGACCTTGGGCCCGGGCTGCTACCCCGAGAAAGGGCATGGAGGCCCGAGGGAAAGGTGATCTGCTTAGTCACCCAAGGGGTAAAGAGGCCGACGGGGGTAAAGAGGCCGACGTGGACGTCGGTTGCTGAAGCGTGGTGGAATGTTAGGATCCCATATTGAAAGGGAAAAGGGTGGACATGTGGGTTATAAAGACTTGGGCACCCTGTCTTGGTAAGCCGGTTTTCTAAGGAGAGTTCTACCCAAACCCATGAAAGACTCATGGCCCAGCCCAAATTGTTGAGTTATTGGAGTGGGTTTCTATCAGAGACCTTAGTGAAATTACCTCATGTACAGTCTTATTGTAGTTTCAATTGTTGATTTTGACAAGAACTTTCCTTTTTAGTAATTCAATTGAAGTTGTCATCTTGATACTGCTTTGGTTGTGAAATTGTGGAATTTTCTCAACACATTTTGCTTGTGAACGTTAACGTTTTACAAGCATTTAGGATATTTTAATGAGAACAGTATAAATGTTTGTTATATGGTATAAAAATGCTTGGAGACATGAACTAACACCAGTTAAAGGTCAAGTGGTAATGGAGCCAAGTACAGGCCTGTGGAGGGGGGTGTGGAGGGGTGAGAGGGGCACCATGGCCACTGGACAATGTTTCGAATTATAGTAATGATGGAGATAGATCTTTAACTCGCATAAATTATTGTGTAAATTTTTATATGGAAATCAGCAGCAAAGTCTTTTTCCCATTGGAGCACCTAGATGTTTTGATGAAGTAAAGCTCTATTTTGTACCTATTAGCTGTAGCACTGATGACTTTAGGATTGTTTATAGTTTATGAAATTGTTTGAAATCTTGTTTCAAAGAGACATCTTGCTCGTGTTTCAACCAATCAACATATAATTCTCCTATCTTGTTTATGTTTCATGCAAGTATATATGAATGTCAGTTTCTCAAGTCTAAATATTAACATATATCATGCGCAGTTATTTCTCTTTAACTACTGCATTCCAAACTGCATCTTCCATTTGTAATTGACAAAAATAGATAGAATTGGATTTCTTTTTCTTGACAATAAGTAACCAGCATATATGATGGAATTGTGGGGGTGTCTTTCTAGATAATGCTGAAGTGTTTATTATCTGTGGTCATGAAGGGTTGGTTCTATTTCCACACTGGGGATCGATGGTTTGCAAACTTCTGGAAGGGGAAGGCCAATGGTGAGGGCCGCTTCTATTCAAAGTCTGGTGATGTGTTTTTTGGTCATTTCCAAGATGGATGGCGACATGGCCACTTCCTTTGCATCGATGTTGCTGGAGAAAGGTGTGTATTCCTTTTGCCATATAACCTTTTCATATTTCAGAAGCAATATGAAATTTAATCAAAATGTTAACAAATAGGCAGTCTTTAAACTCTCATTTCCACTCTGATATGCTATCTTTCATTTACTAGAAATATCAGACATAATTATGTATCTTCATTGGCTGCTACAATAGTGTACTGAGTTTAACATCATTATCTGCTCCATGCCTTCCTGTGATTAAGAATTCAATCTGAATGAAGATATTTTATCGTCCTTCCTAAAGTATGCATCAGAGTGGACCACTTTCGTTAAGCTTTTCAACTCTTTGTTAATTTTCATTTCAGAAGCAATATGAAATTTAATCAGAATGTTAACAAATAGGCAATCTTTAAACTCTCTTTAAACCCTGATATGCTATCTTTCATTTACTAGAAATAACAGACAATTATTTACCTTCATTGTCTGCTGCAATAGTGTACTGAGTTTAACATTATTATCTGCTTCATGCCTTCCTGTGATTAAGAATTCAATTTGAATGAAGATTTTTTACTGTCCTTCCTAATGTATGCATCAGAGTGGACCACTTTCGTTAAGCTTTTCAACTCTTTGTTATTTTTCATTTTTTTCCCCCTGATTTGGGTGGTTGCAGGAGGTAAAAGAGAAATATCACTAATAAATTTAGAGTTCCACACTTGCAATCAATGCTATTTCTCAGTTAATTTATTGTCAATGGGTTGCTGATATTATAAAGTTACTGTTACTTGCCATTTTGCGTAGTTGCATTTCTTCCTCCGGGTGCATACTAATTCCTACAGTGGTTGGGTGTAAGATTTGGTATGGCTAACACTGATAGAGTTTAGCAGTTTGTATTGATTATTTTGGTAGGATTTAGGCTTTGGGGGTATGCCCCTCATTTTTTCTTCAAATTTCTCTGAGCTTGATTTCATTATTCTTTTAATCTTATTGATGCATCCTCCCCCCAATTTACGTTTCACTTCTCAATGAAATGAGCTTAATGTTTGAAAATCTCAACGCCATAGCTGTTTTTTCAATATCTCAAGTTCTAGGAATTTTGAGGGTTTACAAGTTTTGTATATGACCATGCTGCGACTAGCATGGCATTGTGGTGTCACTTATATTAAACTTAATGAAATTCTGAAAGTTTTCCTACATCAATTCGACAGCTTCAATTTCGACTAGATAAAGAAAGGTTTATGTATCAACATTGTAAACAGTTCAGTTGGTTTCCGTGTTTTGGTGTATATTCAATTCCTTTTGAAGCCAAGCCTCTTTTTCGCGCTTGGTTCTAAGTCTTTATGTCTGATTGCTCTGTTGCCCTATCTTTATCCTCAATATTGTTTCTAGATTTTTTTGTGCGTATTGAGGTTCTTAACATTCATTTGTTCATGGAGTAGTTGCAAATTACAGACATTTGAATCTAAGATCACCAGCTATTAATTTTTCCTCTTTGCTTCATGATCTCATTATTTCCCCAATTAAAATATAGGTGTAATAACATTGTTGTATAACAAACCTGATCAGCTTGCTCAAATGATTGTATTTGCAGATGCATTGAAATATGGGATGAAGGTGTTCTTGTAAGCCGTAAGCAGTTAGACTCTAATACTCCTGCTGAATGATTTCTGTACTGTTCACTCGTTTCTTTTCTTTCCCTTGTATAGTAAGTAGATTTTATAAGAAATAGCAAGAGAAATTGTGAAAGAAACGTCTGAAAACTGGTCTCTAGTATCACATTTTTGCTCAAAAACCATCTTCATATAAAATGTATTGTTTTCAATGCCAAGCAAATTTTTTTTTTCCCAGACATTCATTTGCATTAGGAACCGTAGAAACTATAATGTCTTTGTTTTAAAAACAATTTACAAAAATACTATTGGATTATTTTATCCTTCTATACAAAATTTTTAGGACATAAATGCTCCTGGACTTTGGAAAACTTACCCAAGGGTGGTGGCCGATGGTCGGCCACCATCACTAGCCGCTAGATGTTGATGCCTTAACGGCATACGATGGGTCAGATCTAGCTGGTCGTGCATTGATCTGGCTATTTCCGGTCATATCTCTGGTTGAAAACGATTAGATCGATTTTGGCTATTTTCGGTTAGATCTACGGCTTTGGGCTGTTAACAACGACCTGATCTCTAGCTATCGTTAATGGCCAAATGGCCAGATTATGGTCGTCAACGGCTAGAGTTTTGGCAGTTGACGACCAGTTCTGGTTGTAGATTTGGTGGCTATATCGATGCACGATCGGCCATATCCGGTCGGTCGTGCATTGTTATGGCCACTGTTGTTGCTACCGATGGTGATGGCAGGCGATCGGTAGTGGCTTAGAGATGGATGGAGGTGTTTTTGTTAAGTTTAAACTCTTTTTTTGTTGTTGGGATGTTTTAACAATATCTCAAACGTAAAGGGTTAAAAAATAATATTAAAAAAATAATTATAAAAATAATATTATATTAATATTTAAAAATGAGGGTAATTTAGTAAATTATATATCATACTCGTCAATTTATTCTTTCTAACTAAACATATTAATATAACATACTTATCAATTTATTCTAACTAATCAAATACATTTCTCTAAACATTTCTTATAATCTTTAAAGTAATCTATCTGTTCGTTAATATAATATTTTCAATAATATAATATTCTTTGAACCAAGCACACCTTTAAAGTTAACATGTTCCCACCCGAAAAATGACCTATTGACAAATTCATATCCGTCCACTTTTCAAATACCTTTTTGCTACCTGCAATAAAAACTCTGTTAACAATTTCCATTAAAAACATATATTTTTATTGTGAAGACGAAAAACCCTTGACTGTTTGACTGAATTTTTTTTTTTATTATTATATGAGTGAAATACATATGTACCCTTATTTTAATAACAAAATTATTGAGATACCCCATCTTTGAACAATAATAACTTATATGTCTCAAATTTTTTTAACAAATGGGTAACCCTCATATTATGAAAAATTGACACAAATGAAATTGTTTGTGTATGTGTTGCGTATTGAGCTAATATTTATATCACGTCTACTTTGTCAATAAGACTGTAAAATCACATTGCATTTTAGTCACCCCAAACCCAATAAAATTTGGAAATGTTTTCATCAGACCTCTTCAACCAGCAAACATGCAATAATGACAATAAAAGCATTTGAAAATTTTTTGGATAGAATTTTTTAAAAAGTAAGAATTAGATGGTTATTACGAGGTAGGATTTAAAAATTGATAAAAACACCCCTTAGGTTTGTTAATTTACTAAACACCCTTGTAATAAAACATTAAAAATTAACAAAAACACCTTCACCCACCCATTAAATACCAACAGTTGGCCACCACCGTCGGAGGGTGGTCAGAGTTTCTGTATCGGCACATAATCGGTTGGATCTGGTCGGTCGTGCTGGATATGGCCTTTTCCAAGAAAATGTCAAATCTACGACTAGATTTAGCTGTTATCGACTAGATCTGGTCGCGTTTGGTCGTCAACGACAACACCCCCTAGGTTTGTTAATTTATTAAACACCCTTGTAATAAAACATTAAAAATTAACAAAAACACTCCCACTCACCCATTAAATATCAACAGTCAGCCACCACCATCGGAGGGTGGTCGGAGTTTCCATATCGGCACACAATCGGTTGGATCTGGTCGGTCGCGCTGGATATGGCCTTTTCCAAGAAAATGCCGAATCTATGGCTAGATTTAGCCGTTGACAACCAGATTTGGTCGCATTTGGTCGTCAACGACGGCTATATCTTGGCTGTTGTTAACAATTAGCTACAACCAGATCTTTGGCTGTAGATCTGATTGGAAAAGGCTAGATCGACGCACTACTGACTAGATCCAGCCGGTAGTGTGCCATTATACTATATTCTAGCCACCTTCCAGTAATGGTGGCCGAAATCTGGCAAATGTGGGTGGACAGGAGTGTTTTTGTCAATTTCTAAACTTTTTTTAGGGTGTTTAGTTAAATTAACAAACCTAAAGGTTTTAAAAACAATTGAATAAAATATAATAAGATTTTCAGAATAGGAAAACAAATGTGTATTTTGGGTAGGATAGGGATAGGATAGTGTAAAAATGCTAAAACAAACACACCCTATAGATGTTTTTAAAAGAGGAGAATAGAAAGTTTGGGTAAAAATAACTTCTGTTTTAAACATAAGAATCTTGATTCAATATCATCAAAACAAATTCATTCTCCAGTGTATAGCATAAAAAATGAGCAAAATGCGATCGATTAAAGATTTGCCATTGATGGCAAAGATGGTTATACTGCTGTTTAGAATTTCCACAAAAAACCTGTGACAATGACAAAGAAGAAGAAGAAAAAAAAACAATTTAGGGTGCAGCCACAATAAGAAGTAATCAACGTCAGACCAAAGCAGAGCAACAAGTTCCACAAACAACTTCTGACAATGATAATAAAGAAGGAAAAAAAAAAACAGTTTAAGGTGCAATCACAAGAATAAGTAATCAACATCAGACCAAAACAGGGCAACAATTTCCACAAACAACTTGTGACAATGACAATTGTAGATGCAAAAAATCTACCATCATGAAAATGGGTTTGGTCTCGTGAGGTTGAGATCACTGACAATCCGCTAGACCTGCACACATGAAAGGACAAGCGTGAAGCTTTCGAAAAACACCGGGGTGGTGTTTGCCGTGGGCACTCCGACGCTCAAGTTAGCAAGGCTGAAAAAGATTATTTGATAAGAATTAAGGAGATGAAGAATTACAAGGAATCTTGTCGGAAGCTAGGACTACGGCGGAGGTGTCGGGTTCTCAGGAGCAAGAACTTTAGGAGCAAATAGATAGTTTTGAGTAGTGTAGATTGACTATAGGAGATTACCTGCCTAATGAGAGGGCAAACCTCTGTTTTTATAGTGAATCCAAGGGGTTGGAGTCCTAGTAGGACACTAAGTCCTATTTTGGGAGATAATCACTATCATGAAAGATATATGATTTCTTGACTTTATCAAATTAAGTTTGCAGTTTGAGTAAGATTTGGAATCTTAGTAGGAGACTAAGTCCTATTTTGGGAGATAATCCCTATCATGAAAGAGATGATTTCTTAACTTTATCATATTAAGTTTGATAGTTTGAGTAAGATTTGGAATCTTAGTAGAAGAGGAAATAGAATGGGATTCTGATTTCTTATTTATGGACTGTTGCAGGCTAATGGGCTGAAACTCAGTTTAGCTTAACTTATAGGATAGCCCAACTCATAGAATGGGTAGTTCACAAGGTGATTTTAAGCGTAGGCTCAATCGGGATTGGGTTGAGGCCCTGAGCCGTGACATGTTTATTTCGTTATTAGGTCTCGTCAAGCCTAAGACGATTTTTGGCCCTAACAACAATAAAGAGTAAAAAAAAAAAAAAAACAGTCCAGGGTGTAGCCACAAGAACAAGAAATCAACATCAAACCAAAACAGAGCAACAATTTCCACAAACTTGTGACAATGACAATGAAGAAGAATAAAAAAAATCAGTTTAGGCTTCAGCCACAATAAGAACCAATCAACATCATACCAGAACAAATCAACAATTTCCAAAGAGGTTGTGACCAAAACTAGAAAGAGAGGAAATATAATCTAAATAAACCTTAACACACATAGTTGCCTTTGCAAAAACTACCTTCTCTTACGATGCATTTGCAAGTTCAATCTCACATTACTTAAAGAGGCTATGAACATGCAGATTAAACTATAACTTAATTTACACAAAGTAGAATGTTTAAAACTTATAGAGTCATGACTATTTAAAAATTAATTTAGACAAAGTAGAATGTTTAAATCTTGTTGGCACATATATTGTGAGATTGTGCAGCATTGTTTTGAGGTGAAGAAGATGGAAACCTAGCCCTTGAGGATGATGTAGTCATAGTTGTTACAAATGTTCTCTACAACCTCAGAAAAGGGAAACAATATTAGTTAGAAAATCAGCAACATAAAAATAGATAAAATGAATTAATTAATAATACCTTCTAGTTTGCCCTTTTATTTACTCTAGCTGGATTATCCTTGCAAGACCCTTTGTTATGGCCTAGGGCATTGCAAATAGTACACCTATGCGTGGAAACCCTTTTATTCTTGGGTTCCTCTTTTGGATCTTGCTTTCTTACCTTTGTTGGTTTGTCCGGCTTGACATACTTGTAAGGGGGCCATAATTTTTCGTCAGTCACATCAAGTGCACTTGTCTGGAACTGGATGGATTATGTTTGCATAGGTTTGCATGTACATTGGAATTCTCAGCTTCTCATCCACATGATCTTAAAAGTTTGTCACATTCCTACATAACATACAATTAGCAACAGGCACACAAGGAACACTAGAGATCTTCTATACTCCACAATCACACCATTGGTTCCTTAGAATAAGAGTATGTTTTCTAGGCACACCATTACCCAAAGATCTATCCATTACCTCATATTCATCATATCCAGGGTAAAGAACCTCAACAGACCTAGTTGCCTCAATCAATTTGTTAATTTTTCTATGCACCATAGGTGGAAGAGGAGTTACCCAACCATTACCGTCTTGGAACCTGCATTGCATCCTCTTCATTACCTTCATTCTATATAGCTCTAATAAACTCATAAT